GAGAGGGTGAGGCCGACCCGGAGCGACTGCCGAAGGTGAGTGAGGCCGGGCGTAGGGCCGGGCACTTCCTTGTGGGAGGCGTGGCAGTCAGAGCAGGTGTGGGGCTGGCCTGCGGCCGGAGTTAAGGCCGTGGCAGCGGGGAGGGGGTGGTGAGCAGGTGAGGGGCCACAGTGGAGGCAGAAGGAAGGGAACCTATGGGAGTCATGGCCCTTCCCCTCACATCTTGGGCCATTGGGCGGGGGGCGGTGGAACAGCACTGGATCTCCGGACATCGGGCCAGCTCCCCTCGATTCTCAGGGTCCTGGGCGTGGGTGCTCGTGCAGCTTGGTGAGGATGGCTGCAGTCCTGATTGCCTTGGATGTTGGCGTAGACGGTGCTGTGACCCACAGCCTAGCTCCCTCCTCTTGCCGCCTGAGCTTCACTTTGCCCTGATCTCTGTTTGTGAGTCCGTGTAAACTAGGGCATGCCAGCAGTTGTGAGCTGTATGGAGCCTTGCAGGCTGGACTCGTCAGGCACGGAGAGATTTCCGGGCCGTTCTTTAGTCATCTTTGTTTCTGCCTGCTGTTTCTCTTTCTCTTCCTCACACAGAGACTATTGCCAACGTCGATGTGATCCCATTCTCTCTTCTGGACTCTCCTTACGTTTTGTCGGGGGCGCCCACGGGGGTCTGTCACATTTTGCTAGCTGGGATGCTTAATGGCTAAACACAGTTGTCTTTGGGGCTGGTACTGAAACAGAACGCCATTTCCCTGAATTAACACGGGGCGACGGAGTGGTACAGGGCGAGAGAGCCGACCTGTCCGGTAGCTCTCCGGACCTCAGATTGGGCTTGTCACGTGGCCACCCCTGCTTCCGTTTATGCTCAGTTTGAGGTAGGAAACCACACCAGCTGACCGTTCACCTTATTCCTAAAGACCTGAGGGGATGTTCTGGCTGCAGCATCAGCACACGCTGTTTTTCCACGTGGGTAGAAAAAGCAACAGATTTTGGGTGTGATTTGGTAAAAAAAAA